TATTTGTCTGATTCAAAGTGGCCAAAACTGGTCCATTTCATCTCAATAATGCCTAGTGTGTGATATTCATTCATTCCATTTTTTTCTTTTTTCCCCCCACAATTTCCAATATTCAAGCTACATACATTCCATATTTCAGTTAATAAATGACATTTATCACTGTTTTTCCTTATTTCAATTGACTTCCAATCTGGCCTCTACCACTATACTACTATAAGCTATCTGCATTCCTCTACTGTCCACAGGGTTTTCAAAAGGCCCTTATTTAAGAAGTGTATGGCTAATCCTGCTTCCTTATCCGTCTTAATCTGAGAGCTCTGCTAAAACCTGTCTATCATGGGTAACTCATATGGCATTTGACACATCAGTGGCATAGCTTTCAGCAGCACAGCAACACACAAGTTATCTCAGTACAGCAAACTGACAGACTAGTGCTGCTACAGTTAGCGCAATGTTATTTTCAAATACAACAAACTGCCAATTTTGTTTGTAACCTAATATCAAGTCAATCTTCATGCTAGACAATGTAATCAAAACTACCCAATTGGCTTTGTGCCTGATTGGTAATTTAAATCAAGACAACCTATCTTGTGGAATCGAACTACTTCAGACCAGAAGCTTCAGACAAGAGACTCTAGCAAAACCCAACTGATTTTTTAAACACCTACTGAGTCCTGATTTAAAATATTTGAGAAGCTGGACTCTATGAAGAGGAATGTGACATAGGGATGACAAGAAGACTCATTAATAACCTGTGTTAAGCAGATGACACAACCTTGCTTGATGAAAGTGAGGAGGACTTGAAGAACTTATAGAGGATCAAGGAATGTAACCTTCAGTTTGGATTGAATGTCAATGTCAAGAAAACAAAGATTCTTACCACTGGACTGATAGGCAACATCATGGTGGATGGAGAAGAGAATGACACTGTCAACAACTTCATCTTACTTGGATCCACACTTAACACCCTTGGTGCCAGCAGTCAGGAAATCAGGAGACATATTGCATAGAGAAAGTCTGTAGTTAAGGACCTCTCCAAATTATTGAGGAGTAATGATGTCAGTTTGAGGACTAAGGTGCTTCTGATTCAGGCCATGGTGTTTCTGATCACATACTATGCATCTGAGAGCTGGACAATGAACAGGGATGACTGAAAAAGAATTGACATCTTTGAGCTGTGGTGTTGGAGAAGAGCACTGAACATCTTATAGATGGCTGGCCAAAAGACAAACAAATATGTCTTGAAGAGGGTGCATGCAGAATGCTCTTTGGAGGCAAGGATAATGAAGCTTCACATCACATACTTTGGGAATGTTGCCAGGTGGGGCTATTCCTTGGAGAGGGACATGATGCTGGGAAGGGTGGAGCATTGGTGAAAGAAAAGAAGACCCTCAACCAGGTGGATTGATATGGTGACTGCTGCAATGGGCTCTAGTGCGTTGGGAAGGGTGAGGATGGTGCAGGATAGGACAGGGTTCAGATCCACTGTTCTAGTGCTGTTATGAGTCATACTTGTTCGATGGCACCTAACAATAAGACCAATAACAACAACAATACTGTGTTCTAGTTAACAACTTAAAATATAACTTCCACCTAAAGGTGCACGGTTCAAATACACCAGACACTCCACTGGAGAAGGGTGGACAATCTCCTCATGTCCCAGTCAAATCTGACTCGATGGTACACAAGAAGAAGAAAAAATATAATTATAGCTTACTGTTTTCTTTCAATTGTAGCTATTCTGCTATTACACCATTGCATTGATCTTTGAGCTTCCAGGATGGTAATTTTAAAAATGACAGAAAAGCAGAGCAAAGTTTACTGAATAGATTTGGTCTTCAGCTTCAACAGCCTTCACAGAGCCAATCTTGGTTCATCCTTCCCATTCACCCATCCATCCCACCCCAGATTATTTTGAATCAAGATCCAGGCATTTTATCATATATGCTTTTTATTTTTAATCCCCCCCCTTTTCTTTGTGTACCATCAAATCAGATCCGACTGGTACAGGAGGAGATTGCCCCTCCTTTTCCAGGGAGCATCTGGTGGGTTCAAACTGCGCACCTTCAGGACTGCAGTGCAGCTTCTTACCTCTTGGCCACCAGAGCTCCCCTGTATGCTTATTTTTTTAAAGTTCTAAACCTTTGCCAATTTATTTGCTCTTTCTAGAAACTTCCTTACTCCTTGCTGATATTTTATTTTCTCTTTTGCAACTTGAAGCGTTAATTGTATATTCTATATATGGTCAATTCAAATCCTGGGGTTTTCTGCTCAGTCTTGTAGTTTTATTTACTCATGTGTTTTAAAAATTTTGTGTGTAAAGAGAAAATTTCTGGAAAGATAGGTCCTAATTCATGGCCACAAACTGGACACTCCAGCGAATGGTCAATAATTCAACCTTTACAATTGTCTGGAAAGTTCTATTCCTTTCACTCGAAGACATTGAAGCTCAGAGAGGTTAAGATGTTGTTGAAGACTGCTTCCCACAAGTGACAGAGTGGAGTTTGCAGGTTGGCCTGCCTTCTTCTGGGTTACTCCCTGAGTTCCTCTCTTTCCACAGTCCACCTTTCATAAGGGACATGGGCATCTAGCTATACGCCACAGAACCCTGGACCTCCATTACGCTGAGGTAACTGGAGATTTCTTTGTTGGACTCTGCAGGGGCCCCAGTGGAGCAAATTAGCCTCATGAAGGCGTCCTACACCATGGAGGCTATTGATCGGTCGGTGAAGGACATAGAACACTGGCACGGCCGGAAGACGGATGAACTGGGTAAGAGGGTGCTGGGGCCGAGGGAGGAGGGCACTCTTTCTCCTCGTCAGAGTATGCTTCCTTTAAAGTCCAAGAGAGAATCCTGGGTGAGAGACAGAGCCTCCAGGTTATTGGAGAAGTGTGGGTTACCCCCACGTCTCCCCGGGGTGGTCTGTGCCAGCTTCTCTCCTCTTCTCTGTAGGACGCTGGCACCAGAAAAATGCTATGAACATGAGCTTGCAGAAAGCACTGGAGAAGAAATTAGGAGAGAAGAACCAATCCAAGGGCTGAAAAATTTTAAATACAGAAGCGGGGTCCTCCGCTCAGAGAACGTGCTAACAATAAAGGCACGAACAGGAACCTTTCTCCTCTGTGTAGGCTGTCTGTGCATGCTGGGGGGGGCATTTGTGATGCTGGGCAGACGACTGGGGTGCTCCTCCAGAACACCCCACACTCACCACTTTCTATCAGTCTCAAGAAAGGCAGGAGAGCTAAGCAGGCTTCTGTCTGAAGCCAGGCTACCTACCTGCCTTCTGACGAGTGAAGCGAGGCCGTGGGTGGACGTTTGTGATGCAGCAATGGGCTTAAACACAGCAGAGAGTGGGGAAGACGCAGGGCGGGCAGAGTTTTTATCTCTTGTAACATACGTAGGAGTCTATGGTGCTTCACAACAGCAATATGTAAATAAGGTGTTTGTGGCCCACCCAGGGGACAGCTTGCTGTCTATTTATCCATTTATGGATCTAAAGGCAATGACTCACATGCTGACAAGTCCTGGCTCTGTGGCTTGTAGCTCTGAAGACTGATGAATTCACAGTCATCAGGCAAGGCAAACCACAGACACAATAACCAGAGTGGAGAGGGACCAGATTCAGGATTGAGCAAAAAGTCAGACAGCTCGGCTAGACTTCCTTATGTTCTCAAAGCAGGTCCTTCTCTCAGTGAAACTCCACCTGATTGGCCAATCACAGCAAATCCCATCCAAGAAATGATGACACAGATCTTATCAAGGGAAGGACCACATCACCACAGCAGAACCAGAGACTCACAGGCTGCCACGTGGACACACAGCCTTAACCATCCCACCTGGGAATCTTGTTAAAGTGTAGATTCGAATTCTGTCTGTCTGGGTGGAAATGTAAATTCTCATCAGCCTGGAATGAACTGACTCTAATCTCTGCTCATAAGACTTTTCTGAGAGGCGCCAGAGTGAGTCCAGCAGCAGAGAGTGAGGGCCAGCTGTTCTCAAGACCTGAACCCAGAGTTGACTCTGACCCCAAGTAGCACTGCACTTCTTTCCCAATAGACCACTTGCCTGTGAGCAGTTTGTGAGTTCTATGACACACTGCAGGGAATTACTGA